AATTTTCTTTTTATCTTCAGCTAACTTCAAGCATAAAATATTTGAAAAGTAAAAGGTGGAATTTTATCGATGAAAAAGTCAGACGATTAAAATTCGAATCCTAAGTGAAAATTATCTTAATTTTAGAAGTATCGTTGATATGATATTTGTATGTATAAATTGTTTCCATCTGATTTGTCCACATGTCAAATTATGTCACGGCCGATGAAACATGTATACGTGATACCTGTTCGATATCGTTAAATATGGTCATTCCGTTCGAATAGGTGAAAGGTTTCTGTCCGGCGATTTACTACATAGAAACCACCCCTAAAGATACGATAGATATAGGGGTCGGTTAGGAAGAACAAAGATCGCACACCCACCCTTTGTTGGTAAACCTGTAATGTCTGTTTATGCAACAGATTGCAGAAAATCTGTCAATATATCGCAACAACGTTCAAGCTACTTTCAATACACTACGATTATTAATATTTTCTATCTATGTGTTTAAGTGTTGTGTGTTTAATAATATTTAACAACATGAATAATGTATATATTTATTCGATGAAATATTTCATGGATATTACGTTTTTTTAATATGTCGTTCCACCAGCTCGTGCGAAGTTTAATGAAAATATATTTGCGTTAATTTTTGCACACATTTCTAAATTAAAAACGTAGAATTATTTTTAACCATGGAAACGTGCAGTCTCGAGTTGTATGCGAAATGCACTATACGCAAGGGAGTGGAAATGTTTTCATGAAACGAAAATCTTCGTCAAATGAGTCACGCGCATCAATGACGTCAGAGTACACGCGTAGTCGACACCCCAAACCCACGCGTTCATAAAGTGCACATTAAATTTCTGCTTCGTTCGACGTTCAAATGATCCTCAGTCGTCGTTATGTTTTGTGTAACTCTTTTAACGACAAACAGTACTCGCCTTAGTTCTCGACAAAAAAATAATTAAAAAGTAGCATCTTATTGTCGAAATGTGTCGAATGTTGCATTATTCCAGTACAAAGAAAAATAGATAGAATAATCAACAGCAGTCGATAAAAAGATTCTCCATTGTAACACACCAAATTCGAATATTAACACTGTCTCCATTTTTAGATTATTCAACTGGGTCTAACATAAAAATTTTCCACTAACTTATCCCTCTGGGAACTAGAAATAGCAAAGCTCCTCTTAGCAATTTATGCGACGTAATAGTAGGTCCGCCAGATAATTTTCTATAATTTGTTGCCAGAGAGAACCTCGTATCTATTCGTACTAATTACTCATTACGACATCGCATTACTTGAGAATATAAGATAACCACAAGTGTGAATTAATATCGAAATAAAAAAAAAAATAAGTTCATGGTGCAGCATTTTTCCAATGCAATTGACCTAATTCGCCCCATATACAATTTCACGCCTATTGCCAGGGACACCACTGGTGTAATTATGATAAATTGAACGTAAACACATCAGTGGTGATTATCGCCCGTCGGCTACCGTGAAGAGTTCGTTTTCAAAGAATCACTGCGATGGCGCACCGAGCGCGGATTACTTTTAAGTGATTAAAGTAAAGCATATATCCAGCCGCGTGAAATCTCGTTTAACCTCGTTTCCCGTTCAAAAAAAGAAGTTAATGCTCGGAAGTAGAAAGTTAAAAGCTGGTTCGAATTAGAAATATTCATTTCTGAATAGAAATATCCAGGCGCTACTTACAGATTTCATTGAAAATATACTTTGCCGTAAAATTCCGCTACAAATGGGTCTTTTAGTAAACCCTTCTATTGAAGTGTCGTATGTACCGTTGAGTCCATGAAATATACTGAAAACATGAATGTTTTCGAAAACATCCTAGTAGACTGTCCCGCATTTAAGCAGTCCATAAATCAAACGGGTTTGCCTCAAAGAAGAAATCCAAGAAATCCCGCCAAACCTAAATTCGGCTATCTTTTGACATAAGTAGAGCAAACCGAGAAAAAGAACGCAGTCAATAAAACTGCATTTCGTCAAATGCAGCAAATGCATCGTCAAGAGACCCATTCCAGTGTACTTTGCATGAAAATGTTACCTACGTAACACTCATTCATCGGAAACGGTTTTCAGGACAGGAAATCTAACGGTAAACTTCGTTTCCGGCTAAACATCCAGATAGAAAACGATGAACAGAAGATAACATCGTAACGGAGGTCTGAGCTTAAAAATATTCGGTTGATCGATCTGAAGTTGGCGAGGTATGCGCACATGGTAGTTCGATAGGAATTCGCCCTCGAAAAGCGAAGCAGAATCGAAACCGGTAACGCACGGTGGTAGGTGGTTGGAAGGCAATATGGCGACCCATTTGGCGATGTCATGTGCGCGCGCAGGTCGACACTATGGTCCAGGGTCGTGCATGCCCGCTTTCTCCGCTTATGGACCAATCGCATCGCGCCTAGAGGAGAAAATCAATAGGCACGGAGGCACGGATGACGTCAGCCTGCAACCCGACGATCGACCGATGCGACGCGGGCGGCGCTGGCCAATTTCTACAGAGCAATCAATAAGTAAAGATATCCACAATGTCGGCAATAGCACCTACACGTATCTTTATTCCAGCCGTACGCAAGTATCTCGATGCTCATTGTTACACGATCAAAAATCTAATCTAGTTTTTTCTAACTACACCTCCTATTCACAAAAGCCTTTTCCGAGGGCACGATTTGGTTCAGGGTTTACTAACCGAGCTGTTAACATCATCGGGAGAAATTTCGAATGACGACTGTTGGATGCATTTGTCAAAGATTGTAGATACGAGCACGACGTATGTATACGATTGGCTTGAAGTTATTTATAAGAGGACAAAGATGATTGCTTCGATATACATATATCTCAGTAGGAGAAGGGTTTCTAATCAATAGAATTGTTATCTGATGTTGGAAGCTATGTTGAAGTAAACAGTTTAATATTGGTCTCGAAATTATTCGATAAAATCATTTTCCCATTATACCGCAACGTAAGTTATATGTAGGCAATACTATTGACGTATGTTCATATTTTATGAGACACCGTTCCCGGAACGTGACTGGACATCCGGCCTCTGTCATAAAAGAATAGTAAATTCTTGTACCAAACTTTATGATTTTTTGACACGTAAAATTACATTCCAATTCCTTTTTTAAATATATTAAACTTCTTGTTTCGGTTTTTTTTTTTATAAAGAATAAATGATTAAACACTGCTCTATCGAATTATCAGTTCCAATATTAAATATATGTTCTATCTTTTGTGTTTTATATCGTATGCATAATTTTCAATATAATTAATTTTGCTATAAATATCATTTAACGACAGATTGTACCACGTACCTTAATTGAACGTTATTAAATTTTATTCGTACTGATTCATGTTAAAATTAACATGCGTATGTTACAACATATAGAAGTCAAAATTAATGACATGTTAATTAACATTGCGTCGAAATAAATATAATCGTGCATATCGATACAAAATTCAAAGAAATGTGCAAACATCGAAAGAAGGTACATGATTATAAATGAAAAGAAAAATAATTACACGCGACTAAATGTGCAGTTTTACAGTGAATCAAACAGCCGACAGTCAACGTTTTTATCCCTACTACGATTCTATAATCCCCCATCGATTCACGACAATAATTTCTATTGGCCTTATTCGACTTATTGAGCTGACGTTCATGTGGACAAATGAAGGGCAGAAACATCACACTTTTCAAATACGGGTCAGAATAATTTCTTTATTTTTTCTCTCTTTTTCCTACATTAAATTTTTAAATTCCATAAATTATTTTATTTTCGTTTGCCTAAGGTATATAAGTTTTTAACTTGTATAAGAATAAAAACAATTTAAGGAAAGACTAACTCAATTTTCCTTTTTAAAACATTTTTAATTTTCTACTAATCTCTCTCTCTCTCTCTCTGATTCCTCGATCGCTAGATCGAAAGAGCATTCGTATTTCGACAGTCTACAGTCAATATCCATTAACTCGCCCCTAACGAACTTAATTCAGCACAAAAGTTTAATTTATGCCCCACGATCTTTTCAGCATCAGTGTTCCGCGAGGTTGCATCTGTATACTCTAATTTCGAAAAAAAAACCAACCGTGGAAGTGTGTTATAGTTTTCTCGAGTAACGATCCGCGACTCGAGCGTGTTCGTGCAAAAGTATACTATTGGGTAGGTTCGTGTTTTACCAGCAAAAAACCTTGTGGCAGAAACGAGTCGATTCAACGCGCGTTGACTACAGCGAAGGCGCCACCTTCGATCGTAATTAACACTTCTCGCGATGCACTAACATAATGAATCATACGAAACGTGCTACGAGCGTACTTCTCAATTAATTAGTTTTAGAATCGACTACGCATAATTATATGATATATACACTTACACTCGTGTACCATATACCGTAGCATATTTATGCCAATGTATACGAAGAAATGTCAGACACGAGTAGATGACAGCTTTCTTTCAAAGTAGTTTTTATATGACAGAAAAATATATCGTAGAACTTGTAAAAGGAAATTTTAAGTACCAGCAAAAATCATCTGTCAAAATTTTCGATAGTAACGAAACATCTATGACAAACACTGCTCGGGACACGAAAAAGATGTAACATTACTTACACCTTAAAGAATACTTAATCTTGCTGTAATCGTAATCGTTCAAAATTTTTACCACAATTTATCAGGCAGCGCGTTCTTGAATTGTCACTGTACAAACTAGAAACTAACCAAGTTAGCAATGATACATTCAAGACGAACAACGATGTCCAGAGTTTAAAAAGAGCTGTCTGACTAAGGCTACACGAATCTACTGCACACACCAGATAACGAAGTGAACAGGGAATTAATTTGTGGCGCAGACGACGTCCAGGGGCTCGCAATATATGACGTATTGCACACAACGAACCTATGACGAGCACAAAGATAGTACCGCGTTGATGCGTTTATAATGAACGTGCTATTAGTGCGAGTGCTTAAAGTGACAAGAATGCCTTTGACTCACCAGATACGTAGGCAGTGACGTGAAAACAGCTGAGGTCCTCCGGCCATACTGGTTCTGGTTCCGCGATGTTCCTCGAGACACGGCGTGTACGCGTCGAGACGCGAGGCGAATCGACTCTAACCGATCGATTATCAAAGGCGCGGGTTAGGCGTCTTTTTCTTCTTTCTCGGCGCTCGCTTGTGCAGCTTGTTAACCGTGTGGCGCTGACGTCTGTTTTCTCCTCGTGGAACGACACGACACTTCACGCGAGATTTTCAACGCACACTGCCCGATATTATGTCAAATGAAAACGGATCTCGCTGCGGCGTGATGGTTATCGATGTATGATAATTCGAATTGCGCGGTTCAATTAACCGCGAAAATTTTCAAATTTGATTTCTTTAAAAAATTACCTTTCTAATTGATTTGATAGAATAAAATCGATTATAATCTTTTGGTATTTTTATTATTTAAAAATAATTTTTATAAAATATCGGTATTATTAAGAAATTGTTATATCTTTATAGTATCAAACTCCTTATAGAAATTGCGAATGCCTCGTACAACAACAATAAATACTTTATAGTAAATTTTATTGCTTTTTCATTTATTATTACATACGTGTATAATATATACGAAACATGTGTATATAAAATCACAAACGTCTGTTCAAGAATTTTTATAAAATATCGGTATTAGTAAAAAATTGTTATATCTTTATAGTATCAAACTCCTTATAGAAATTGCGAATGCCTCGTACAACAACAATAAATACTTTATAGTAAATTTTATTGCTTTTTCATTTATTATTACATACGTGTATAATATATACGAAACATGTGTATATAAAATCACAAACGTCTGTTCAAGACGAATGGAACGATAGAAAGTACGAAATTAATCTTCAAAAACAATTTATGCTATATAAAAATCACCTTCGACACTATTGTATTCTCATTCACTCTCTAACATCCAGCAGCCTTCTTGAAACGAGCGTTAACGTCGTTCCAATTAACAATGTCGAAGATAGCCTTAACATAATCAGGTCGAACATTCTTGTATTGCAAATAGTAAGCATGTTCCCAAACATCGATACCAAAAAGCGGTATTAGACCAGTTGTAGCTTGCAGGGGGTCCTGATTAGCGCAAGCAGCTATCCTTAAAGATTTTGTTTTTTGATCGTATCCAAGCCAACCCCAACCAGAACCCTGGACTGCAACAGTGCTTTCAGATAATCGTTTCTTCATTTCTTCCATGCTGCAAAAATCCTTTTCGATTTGTTTAAGGAGTGTGGCTGTCGTAAACAGAATTTTAATGATTAATACCAATTCGTTTACAATATTAAGATACCAAATATATAAAACAAAAATATATTAAAACAAAAATTTACCATCTGGTTTACCACCGTTCGGCGAAAGATTACACCAGAAAATCGAGTGATTTAAATGACCACCGCCATTGAATTTGATAGCAGGACCCAGCGCGATTTGAGTATTAACATCACCTTTTGCGACAGCTTCCTTCAACTTCTCTTCGGCGACATTCAAATTGTTCACGTATGTCGCATGATGCTTCGAATGATGAAGTTGCATAATTTCGGCACAAATGATGGGTTCCAAAGCCTTGTAATCATAAGGTAAATCGGGAAGAGTATGCTTTGTCCTCGCAAAAGTGTCTTTGCTAAAAATTTAAGAAAAAAAGACACTAAAATTATTCATTCTCATAACTTATTCAAAATCTGATTTTTAATTTAAATGAAGTTTGCACAATACCAATTCATAAAGCTATCAGTAATTTATATGAAAAAAAAGAAAAACTATAATCTGCATCAGATTAAACTTCTCAATTTGTAAATACTGTATGCATAAAATACCATTTTTTGTTTTCATTGATAACGTAAATGTTATCTTATTTACAACGTAAAGTTATTTTTAATATTCTAAAGTTGAAGCCAATTAATCGTCTTTTTATTTCAATAAATTTTGACCACAAATGCACTGACATTCAAATCTTATATTGACAAGGTGCTTATCTAATATATATCTACATGCCAGAGGTCAAACTAAATTTGTATTGATTTATATACATACATATTTAATTTGGGCAGTTTAACAATATGCACATGTATGTTTATAAAAAACTATACCTTTGTTGCTTAATGTGATATCGCAAAATTTGACAGATACGTTAAGTATGCGATATGCGATACTACATATAAATTTTCAATAACTAACAGATATTCAAAAATAAATTTCATTTCGAAATGTAATTTAATTATGTAAATGACTACACCAATTTAATTATATATTTAATTAAGGGAGAGAAATTAATTTGTATCAAATGCATTTGGTTCAAAATTTTAATGTTATTTTTATAGTTATATGTTAAAGTACAAATTCTTTACACAGTTACAAACATAATGTCAATAAATGTAATTGTACTATAAATAAAAATTTTAATATTAATAACAAAAAGTACAATGAATGATAGGTTAGAAATTATATAATATCAACTGTGCGATGATCATAAATGAAAACTAAGATAAACTTACATTGTATTGGAGAACAGAGCACGTCTTGCCACGAACATTGTTAGAACGTCAATAAACGAAGCTGTTTTTATGAACTAATACCAATAATCACAAAGCAGAAGAAGAAACTTCGATCGCAGACCTATCCCAGACAGCTGCGAATATCGTAATGCCAAAGTATGCCGGAAAATGGCTCGACTACCAACTATACCACTATCATTTATTACGTCACAGTTTCTTCCATTGGCGGTAGCACAACTACGTACTAAAGTAACTTTCCTTTACTTGTACAATATCTGTATTTTTAGATATGATAATCTCATAATTAAAAAACCACTAATTTCAAAACAAAATTTTTTTGTTCAGTTTCATGAATATTACATATTTCCAAAGTTTGTATTAAAAATTGAAAAATATTTTGTATATCGTTTAACAAAACCAATTTTATTAGCTTTATTTCAATTTTAATTTTTGTAATAGTAATATTGATAAAAAATCAATGAAGTAATGTTCGACTTGTCTATCCCGCCATTGTCGTAAATAATCGAACTTCTATTTCGAAAGAAAAGCTTTAATTGATAAATTACATTGTACAACGGTAATAATCAGTTTTTATATAGAAGATATATTTAAATTTAATTATGCAAAATTATATTTTAATTATTGATAATTTTCCAAAAATGATATCCCAAGTATGAAATTACTCGAATCCAGACTGAACATTATATATCAAGACTATAAATTAATCAAAAAGAAGAATTTATTTCTATAAGACAAATAGTAAAAAAAACATGTTGTTGTACAAGGATAGTATAAAATAGCAATGCAAACATTTTGTACATTTGTCTTTGAAAAGAAAAATAAAAATACAAATGTGATGTTTCGTAATCTATAAGATCAGTCTGCACGTTTTACTGAAATTAATGTCGTCTTGTATGTCATATAATTTACAGGTACTTAATAAATCTAACAAATAGACCTCAATTTTATTATACACAATTAAAAGCACATTTTATGCATCAATAACGAATGTTGACACGCGTGTCTCACAATGAAAAAACAATACATACATACAAATTCTTGCGCACATAATCGTGTATAAATCTACGTATGTGCGTCGTCGTGTACCAGATATTAACATTTGTGTATTTACATAATAGAAAAGGCATAGCCCTGATTATTACTTCATTGTTATTTATATTCTTTGTGATTGCTTCAAAAAATCTAACAAGATGAGCTACTATTAATGTTTTAACGAATTTACAAAAAGCCATTTAGAAACATTGAAGCATTTGTTTATAATAATGAATACTTATTAGAAAATTTAATGCGATTCAATTGCAAAAAAATAGTTTTAACTATCTACCCCTTTATTCCAACGCCACGTTATTTTGTGTACATATAACCATATGTAATCAAGTGTAGTAGTTCTCTTGGCATTAACGTGACTTATAAACAATCAAATAAGAGACATATTTACAAATACATGTTATGAAAAATGATGGAAAAATCATTCAAAATAACATTTATCATATTCTGTTTCCATGTTATAATTTTTAAATAATCGAATATAGAATATTAAGTTCAACTTATGTTGTGTATGAAATCACGTTAAGCCTTGTTCATATGTAACAAGTGTTGTGTGTATAAAATCGTCCTAGAAAACTGTTCATTCTGGATCGCTCTGAAGCGTCTCACCATTAGTTAAAACCAACGCATCATCATCGGCTTCGTTATAATCAAGAGAAAGGATACTCTCTCTTCTCTTTTTCTTGTGTGTCCTTTCATCGTCACTACCTGGTGCACTTTTGTCCCTTTTGGTCCTATCCCTACCCCTAGTTATTCTAGTTAGCACCTCTTCCCCATTAGTTTTATTGTTACTTCTATTATGACTTTTGCTTCGTAATATCCTTTTATTATTTCGATTTTCTTCATGTTCTTCTTCCCTATCACTTAATTCCTCATTCTCAACTTTAATAATCAAAGCAGCCGAATCACTGGAGCTTTCGTCATTATGATCTGCTTGATTAGGTTTTCGTTCAACCCGTTCTGTTCTTTCGATATTTGAGAATTCACACTGCGGCGATCGCTGCAATGATAACGGTGGAGTCCTAGCACCTTTGCACACATCACTATCTTCCATCGATTTCGAAGTTTTTGTTTCCGAAACTGAATTTTCCTCTAATTCCTCTTTTTTAATTGGTGGTGTGTGCGGGGACAAACCATTTGTTAAATTATTTTCACTTGAATTTGCTTTCAACGCTGCATTTTCTTGCTGCAGCAACGTTACCGATTCACGAGCTTTACGTAGCTCCTGTTGTAAGAAATAAATTGTACTTTGCATTCCTTCAACATCCTCGTCTAAATCTTGCAAGAATTCGTCTAATTCTATAACAAAAATATTACGAAAGAGTATTAAGCACTTTATTCCATAAAATATTTTATGTAGATAAATAAAAAAAAAAAATATAAGCCAAGATACAATACCTGATTGTGACTTTTTCATTTCTTCACTAAAGCTTCTTTGAAGTGCAAGATCACCTTCCAGTTTAGCAATTCGCCCGCTAGCAATCATACGACCCAACTCTTCGTTTTCTTGGTACAACAGCCTGCATTTTGCCATTAATCTTTTTCCGGTATTGCTAGAAACGGAAGTAGCATATAAAACAATTTAAAAGTTAAAATTTAGTATTTATTTTTACGATAATGTAAATTATTATCTACCTATCTGGTGTGAATTTCCATGCACTAAGTTCATTCTGAGTATCCTCTAATTTCGCTTTAGTTGTAACAAGTTCTTGTCTTAATTTTTGAATCAAAATGTTTACAGCTGGATCTAATAAAGCAGATCTTAATGCCGCAGCGGACGGAGCATGAGCAGCTTTCATTTCAGCAATTTGATTCTAAAAGGAATTATATGTTAATGTTTAAAATCCTACAATAATTAGTTTTACATTCGGGCTACGACTAATTATGAAATTACATACAATATATTCTTGTAATTCTTGTTCTTTAGAAGCAAGTCTCCTGACTAAAATCTTCTCTCTATGAGATGCTTCTGCATGTTGCTGTCTGTATTTGCTTTCAGATTCTCTCAATGAAGATAGTTCACCTATAAAAAAAAATTATTTCATTTCTTCTTTTAATTAAAACTTCACTGTTTAAAGCTATCTATGTGCTTCGTCAACTTGTTTTACTACTTTTATTCCAAATATTGCAATTGTGACATGAAATTACATATAAGCAATTAAGAATATGTGTATAAAAATGTAAAATAGTTTTCTAATCTTTAAAAAATTATTAACTTTATACAAAGTTGTAATGGTTAATAATTTAAATCAAAGGAAAGAAAGTTCTAGGCAAATCTGTTTGTTCTAGAAAACAATAATTAAAACATAATGTTGGCATGCTTTTTATAATCCTCTTTATATTTTTATTAAGACAGTGATTTTCAGTCCAACATTTTAAATAAAACTACATTTTTAAAACAGCATTTAGAATTTAATTTGTAATATTCATCTTTCTAAGTATTTCTTTAATTTTCAATAACTTGTTCAAGTAATGCCTATGAACTTAAATATTAAACTTTAAGATGAATCACAGAAACCATACAAATTTATGAGACACATAGAAAGCTTGAAACCTTAAAGTATATGTATATACATATAATATAATGGTACAGAATACTCTGTACATATTTTTGATACTTCATAATTGTATATTTTTGGTGAAATAAAGCATAGTGGTGAAAATCTACTAGATACTGTTTTGCCCTAAGTGCGCATAAACAAAATATGTTTTTATATGTATGTGACATTGACTGCCTGACAACTGACATTTTTAATTAGCGCATACTTTGAGTTTGGAGTCGTTGCATCGTGCCATTTGTGAGATTCTCTGTGCTTCCACCGAGACCAAGTGGACGTTACTTTTCTTCCATGAGAATAGACAGACTACTTGTTGCAGACACAGATGTTGTCACAAGATGACCTCCCGGCCTTATTTGATCAGGTTTGTATTTTTTCAGATTGGTACTTGGACATCAGGAAGTTATGGTGCAGGTACAAATGCATGCATGAATTGCGTTCATAATGGGAATAGACAGGGATGGATGTCTAGGAACATAATTAAAATTGTTCAGTTTTATCAGACATATCTAAATATAAGATGATATTAAAGATATGTAGATTGGGATAAAAATTGTTAGGATTGGAGAAAGCAGCTGGAATTTCAGATCGTAACTGCATCAATTAAAGGTTTCGTACTTCACCAAGACTTAGGTTCACGCACCCCTGCCACAGTGTTTTGTGGGCCAAAGGATGTCATAGGGCCTCTGTTTTTACTCTTCTGAGCTGTATATTCAGAGCCAGCAAGGATGTTGTATTTCATTCAATCCTCGCAAAGTGGAAACTCGATATCCAATGTACACACAAACACACACGGCACTGTCTGCTTCTGGCAGTGTGGTTTACTACACTGTAGAATAATACGTGGCACACTGCACCATCACTTAAGAGCTCATACCAAATGTAAGCTGTGTGTGTTTATTACAGTGGAAGAAATGATTCATAGTGAACACATTCAAAGAAACCTTGTCATCTCTTCTTGTCACACAATATCACTTTTCTTTCAATATGCACTTTGCTTTTAGCATTAAGTGATTTTTAATATCAATAGTAGCGCAACTTAACACCAGATGAGAGAATTATGCATTACTTGCATAATATTATATTAAATTCTCTTGTATATGCGGTATACATGACCGTCACATCACTTCTGCTCACCGAAAAAATTTCAAACACTGTACATATTGGCGTTAATTTAATTGCCCGCACTACACATCACAAATGTAGTTTTCGAAATATTACAATATTACTATATCACTAGCCTTTATCTAAAGAGTCTATTACCAAATTGATCTATCCAATATTTTATATGGATACATAAATTTTCTACAATCGTAGTTCGCTTATCGATGTCATAAGAAATGTACTTAAGAATTTCACCTACATTACTATGTTATTTACTTACTCAAAATTTTTGAATTTTAAGACATAAAAAACTTAGCATTATTATTAATTATCCTAAACACTGTACTAATAATAAACCGCTTGGTCCCTAATGTTAGCGTCCCTATTAGAGTCTTGTCTCATA